TAGGGTGAATACATCTCATTACACTGATTTACTGGTAGTCTCGAAACCCTACTCTAATACGAATAAAAGTTAACTGCCACTTCGTTATGACGTGAAACGAAATGGTATGCTCAAGTGACGAAAACAGTTGCGTTTTTGATAGCAACGTTGGGGAGTGCGATGCTCACGACTTGTCGGCATCGCACCTTTCGGAAAGTTGACACTGGCCAAGGCAACTTGTGCAGAAGAGGCAGATGGTGGAGAGCAAGAAGAGAATGTTGGCATGAACTTATCTGTCTGTGATGGGGTGACACACAAAGCACACTTCCGCCCGGCCCTCGGAATGCACCCACGACGGGACTCGAACTCGCAGACGGCCAAGAGACAAACGACAGCCGGCGAGGGTCACTTGCGTTTTGGCGCGCCGGACAGAGGCAACAATGCGCCTACGAGTGGACACAAGACCGTTTGTCTCACGAGTCCAGCACCGGCTGCTGTTGTCACTTCCGGCATCCATCGGCGCCCTGGCAACAGGGCCGTCACTTGTCTCGTCTCCACGCGGACACTGGGAGTCTGTCTGCCGCGACCGGGGGCGGGGGCACCGGCCGGACGCAGGCGGCAGCCTCCCTATCGGTCTGCCGTCGGCGCAGCAAGGCGATGTAGCCATGACGACACGCAAAGGCATCAGTTGCCGGGGCAGTTGGCAACGCCGTCTGAGAATAGGACTTGGAAGTGGGCCGAAAGTGGTGAGAAAAGGTCGAGACCAGTCAGTCCGTGGGTCAGTTGGAATGAGACGAGTTTGAAGATGCCGTCAAAAGCCGCCAAGTCGCCCGAGTTGGCGACCATTGCTGCCCTTCCCCCCTCTAACCTCTTGACCCCGACCAGCGCCAGGCGGTCGGCACGGCATGGCGCAGCTATGCCTGGCAAGACGTCGGCATGTCTTGTGGCTGAGGCGACAGCTGGTCCGGAGAAGTTGGCAACCTCTGGTCCGCTCGACTTAACGTGACACGGCCACAGATCGTGGCGTCGGGAAGGCCGGAATGAGGTCGCGTCGAATGAAAAGTAGCGCAGTCGAGAGTGCATTTTCGATAGAACAAAGTAGAATGTGAAGAGCCATGAAATGAGCATGAGCCATGACAACGAGGCATCGATGTCAGCATGGCTGAGCAGTAAAGTGTAGAAATGATGGGCTGAGCCACTAAAGTCGATAAGCGAAACCCAATAGGGACGGAGTTGATGGATGTTAGCGAAGTTGATGAATAAAGAAAGGAAGATGATGATGATGATGATGATAAAAGCAATCGTAATGGTCATGATAATGATGCTGAGCTTACTTCCATTTCGAGTGAAAGTGTTGGGTGGAGAGATTCGAAGGTCGCTTTCACCAGAAGACGACGACCGATTCCTCTTGACCAGCTGTCGATTGGCTTTTCTGGAACATTCATGCTGACGCTGTTTCCGAGGTGCAATCTCTTCGATTCCGGGGAAAAGGTTCTAAGATTCCGTCCGACACATGACAAACATCATCAGAGTAAGGTATTATGGTTACAACCAAATTCAAGCTAACAAGTCAAAAAAACTCATCGACAAATCCCTAAAAAGTGGTAAATATACTTTACATCTGACCTCTTTGATGATGTTCGTGATGTGACGGACGAGAGCTTAGCACCTTTTCATGGGAACCGAAGGAGATTACCTCGGAAACAACGTAAAAACATGAATGCTCCAGTAAAGCGAATCGACAACTGATCGAGAGGAATCCGCCTTTGTCTTCTGGAGGAAACAACTTTTGAATCTCTTCACCGAACACTTTTACTCGAAATGGAAGTAAGCCCAACCATTCATATCTTTTAATCCTACTTTCGTGTATGAATACAGTATTGTCAATCGAAATGGTTTTATCGACAATCCCACCATTATCCAGTGCAATTATGTGGCTACTGGATTTCGTGCATCATATGAAGAACATCATCAGAGCGAGGTAACATCGTCACAAACAAATTGAAGCTGACGAGTCAAGAAAAGATTCACTTTATACTTGATCAAAGAGGCCAGATGTAGAGTATGTGTACCACTTTTTAGGGATTTGCCAATTAGTTTTCTTGATCCGTTACCTTCAATTTTGTTGTGACGATGTTACCTCGCTCTGATGATGTTCTTCATATGATGCACGAAATCCAGTCGATAAAACCATTTCAATTGACAACACTGTATTAATACGCCGCAAGTAGGATTAAAAGATATGAATGGTTGCGCTTACTTCCGTTTCGAGTGAAAGTGATGGGTGAAGAGATTCGAAGGTCGATTCTTCGTAAAAAGTTGAGTATGAATTACTTATGCTTGATTGATAGATTGAAAGAGAGAGAGGGTGTTGAGCCACCGTCA